GGAGCGAGCAGGATGCTGCCATCTTGGTCCCTGGCGATATCATCAGCATCAAGCTCGGAGATATCGTTCCCGCCGATGCTCGCCTCTTGGAAGGGGATTCCCTGAAGATTGATCAGGCTGCTCTCACCGGTGAATCCTTGCCTGTCACTAAAAATCCCGGTGATGTCGCCTTCTCGGGCTCCACTGTTAAGCAGGGAGAACTAGAGGCCGTTGTTATTGCCACTGGCGTCCATACCTTCTTTGGAAAGGCTGCTCATCTTGTAGATTCCACCAACAACGTCGGCCACTTCCAGAAGGTAATGTATCCAAATTCAAGTCATTAAATAGTTCACGACCAAAAGGCTGCTCATCTTGTCATTTTTATGCAGCATTTGGACAAATTTATATATCATGCTTTAACTAATTATTGTTAACTCGAAATGGTCAGAGTTCCAACTATAAATTTTCATTTGAGTGTATGCGATATTTGCTTTCGGTGCTCATATATGGCTCGTAATTGTGCAAATGTCTATTGTCTATGGAGTTGGTAAGTTGGTTGGGTTGATAAGTCTAAATGTCATAATTTTTACTTGCAGGTGTTGACTGCTATTGGGAATTTCTGCATCTGCTCAATTGGTGTAGGAGTATTGATTGAGATTATTGTGATGTTCCCAGTACAGCAAAGGAATTATAGGCAGGGTATCGACAATCTACTGGTGTTGCTCATCGGAGGGATCCCAATTGCCATGCCCACAGTGTTGTCTGTGACTATGGCCATTGGATCTCACAGGCTATCACAGCAAGGGGCCATCACTAAGAGGATGACTGCCATTGAAGAAATGGCTGGTATGGATGTGCTCTGCAGTGATAAGACCGGTACACTCACCCTTAACAAGCTCACAGTGGATAAGAGCTTGATTGATGTCTTCGTTAAGGATGCCGATAAGGAGGCTGTACTGTTGCATGCCGCTAGGGCATCCCGGGTTGAGAACCAGGATGCTATCGATGCTTGCATCGTCAACATGCTGAGTGATCCCAAGGAGGTATATTGTACATATATGCTTTATTTTCCTTGTTTTCCTTTCAGGCATTTTGAACTACTGAAATGCTATTTTTCTATTTCTTGTGATTTTTTTAGGCAAGAGCAGGCATTCAAGAAGTGCATTTTCTGCCTTTCAATCCAGTCGATAAGCGTACTGCAATTACATATATTGATAGTGATGGGAACTGGCACAGGGCTAGCAAGGGCGCTCCTGAGCAGGTATTATTATTGTTGTCGTTGTTGTTGTTATACATCTTCCATCTATTTGAATAAGTCTGGTTTATAAATTAAATGAATGAATTCATAGTGCCTCATCACCTTCCTAATGTTTTTCCTAGATAATTGAACTCTGTGGCCTTAAAGGAGATGATCTGAAGAGGGCTCATGGAGTCATTGACAATTTTGCCAACCGTGGCCTTCGTTCATTAGCCGTAGCAAGACAGGTGAGTGATAAAAGAGTAAAAGGTCACTGGTTAAATGTTAAAAGCACATACTTATAAACTAAATGTGATTATATATGTGTAAAAAATAATTGTAGACTGTGCCTGAGAAGAACAAGGAGAGTGGTGGATCAGCATGGGAGTTTGTCGGTTTGTTACCTCTTTTTGATCCTCCAAGACATGACAGTGCTGAGACAATCAAGAGGGCTCTTGAACTCGGTGTCAATGTGAAGATGATCACTGGTGATCAGCTTGCCATTGGTAAAGAAACAGGCCGAAGGCTTGGCATGGGAACCAACATGTATCCCTCTTCCTCGCTTCTTGGACAGAGTAATGATGCTTCCATTGCTTCAATCCCTATTGACGAGCTCATTGAGAAGGCTGATGGCTTTGCTGGAGTCTTCCCTGGTAACTAATTAACTAACTACTAACTGTGGAGAAAGTATATTTAATTGATTGAAAAAAGAGAATTACAAACCCTATATATAAAACAGGAGTTTGAGCTACAAAAGGAAAGTAACTATAGAGATAAGTTAACCTATGCACATAAACTAAATATTATGAAATATAATTGCAAGAGTCCCGCACCAGAAAATTAGAGAGAATGTGCTTACCAAAAAATAGAGAGAATGATGAGTTAAATTCATTGTGTTGAACTATTTAATATGTTGGTTTGGCCCAAGGGCCCTATGACCCAGTTGAGTGACCCCAATGCAATCCTGGATTAAATCAAAAATCAAATGAGATACATTATTTCCTAATTGTTATTGTTGAAAATATTTTGATTGAACAATATATATAAGAATAGATCTGGTCTTCCCTGGAACTAACTAGAAAAGGGTTTGTGGCTCTTCTATTCTACCCTAATGTGTGTGTGTGTGTTTGTATAGAGCACAAATATGAGATTGTGAGGAAGTTGCAAGAGATGAAACACATATGTGGGATGACCGGAGATGGTGTAAATGATGCCCCAGCACTGAAAAAGGCTGATATTGGAATTGCAGTGGCTGATGCCACAGATGCTGCAAGAAGCGCATCGGACATCGTGTTGACTCAACCAGGTCTAAGCGTCATTGTGAGTGCTGTCTTAACCAGCAGAGCCATCTTCCAGAGGATGAAGAACTACACCATCTATGCAGTTTCCATCACGATACGCATTGTCATGGGGTTCACGCTCCTTGCCCTCATATGGAAGTTTGATTTCTCGCCATTCATGGTCCTCATCATTGCCATCCTCAATGATGGAACCATCATGACCATTTCCAAGGATAGAGTAAAGCCTTCTCCTATGCCTGACTCCTGGAAGCTCAATGAGATATTTGCCACCGGTGTCGCTTTGGGGACCTACCAAGCTCTGATGACTGTCATTTTCTTCTACCTCGCTGCTGATACTGATTTCTTCACTGTAATCTCCTTTTCCATTTTGTTTAACAATATTATTGCTGCTAGGAGTAAGACGTGAGTCATGTGCATAAACAGAAGCATCTTTGTTCTGTGCTTACAATAGGTCCCATTTAATCTCATGAAAAGAATAGTAGTGAATAACAACCATGGAGTGAATGAGTCATATTTTCAGGAAAAAATAACCATGGTCATATATTTAAAGAAAGTTATGTTCTAGTCATCTAGCCCTCTTTATAGAAATTTCTTTTTTTTCTAACATTAACTTTAACCTCACTTAATGACTACATAGCTCATGTCACATTTTCCTATCTTCAGGATGTGTTCAAGGTTAAATCCATCAAGGATTCACCTTATGAGTTGACAGCTGCTGTCTATCTCCAAGTTAGCATAATCAGTCAAGCACTCATCTTTGTGACGAGGTCACATAGCTGGTCCTTCGTTGAGCGCCCTGGGGTCTTGCTTGTTGTTGCCTTTTTTGCCGCACAATTCGTGAGTGGCTTGCTTCTTGAGAAATGCTATTAAGTATTGGAATAAATATGGTCTCTTTGGACTAAACAGTTTTTTACCCAATTTTATCTTTTTGGAATAGGTGGCTACACTTATTGCTGTATACGCAAACTGGAGCTTTGCACGAATCCAAGGGATTGGCTGGGAATGGGCTGGAGCTATCTGGATTTACAGCATAATCACCTATTTCCCTCTTGACATTCTCAAGTTCGTCACTCGATTAGCATTGAGTGGGAAGGCCTGGAAATCCATGATGGATAACAAGGTATAGTTTTACAGAAGCATGTTTTTGCCTTTTTATAAATAAAACCATAATCCGACTTTCTGATCGGGTAATAATATATGTATCCTTCTGGACTGACTTGACAACTTTCAATGCTGGGAAAAATAGACCGCTTTCACGTCAAAGAAGGATTACGGAAGGGGTGAGAGGGAAGCAAAATGGGCCGTGGATCAGCGCACACTTCATGGTTTGCAGACTGCTTCAGCCCCTAACCAATGCAATGAGGAAAGCTATAGGGAATTGTCTGAGATTGCAGAACAAGCAAGGAAACGTGCTGAGGCTGCTAGGTAAGTGTGTGTGTGTGTGTAATAAATGTTCTCTCATCCCTTCTTAAAGAAATATTGGCATAGATGTGACTAAGATAAAACGAATGGAAAAAACTCAAAAGTTTTACTGCCTATTAACATGATGGTAATTTGGCAGCTATTTTAGTAGTGACTGTTCTAACCATGTAGGCATAATTTTTTTTATGAATCTTGTCTTGATAAAGTTATAGGGAAACCTCATAAATAAATAAATAAGTCAATAAATAAATAATAACCATCATTTATGGGATTACATCTGCTGCATCTAACATTCTTAGTACCAAATTTGGAATTGCAGGCTTATGGAGCTTCACACTCTGAAGGGGCATGTGGAATCAGTGGCCAGGCAAAAGGGTTTGGATATTAACACCCTCCAGCAGCATTACACTGTCTAAAGTAGAGCAAGAGCGAACATATATTAACAAAAGACAACTCAAGCCATTTTTATAAAGGGAAAAACATCTTCCGTCAATATTTAGTTCTACCCTTTTTCACAGTTCATTGTTGTGAGTTAGAAGACGTCGGATGATATTTGACATATTGAATGATTAAGACAGGATCTCATTGAAGTTAGAAGGAGAAACACTAATGCTACCCGATGTACAATCAAACCAGAAAACTGGAGGAAAAAATGATGACAATTTGTTTTTTTCATTGTAATTATGGCGGAGTATTTAATAATGAATTTCTTTTCTCTTGTCTCTGGTAAAGCCTTGCAATATTGTTCGGGTTAGTAGGGGTGGATCTGGGTCAGTTCCGGAAAACCAAGTTGTTTGTTGTCTTACCAAATCGAAACTGGTAGCGGGTATACCAGACTGATCATCCAAGTCCGATGGCAGTCTACCCAAATACCCAATCATTCTCGACTGTTGAATCCTAATATATTACGGAGTATTTTACTACATTATTGTTACTCAATAATTATTGAAGGTACACAATATACATGAAATTATACAAGAAATTGTAATATAGGAAGAATAATATAAGAAACAAATAACAAGATATTAAAATATTGTGTAGAAACATAGAAAGAACTAAAAGGTTAAGAACTGACAGAAATAATGAGTTGTAGATTTACTTTTTTTGACAATAACCAACTCAACTTCAATCGACAAAATCATACGGAGTAGTTCATAGATGACATAATACAATCTGGGAGAATATTGAGCCGAACGTAGCAATCACACATAAAACCTGCAACCTTTGCTCAACCATGGGGATTTAAAAACTTTTTAAACATGGCCCATTGCTAGTATATCGTGGAAACATAGCCGTTTAGGTAAAATAAATTTATATGTGTGTTTCCAAAACAGCTATATTTGGACATTGAGGTAAAATAGCAGAAACATAGCGGGTTAGTTGAAATAAATTTCATATAATGTGTGTGTGTGTTTGCGCACCACACCTTTACGGCTTTACTTCTCTTGCTCCCCTCCCCAAATTCTCCAACCAAACAAGTCCAAAAGTGTCATAATCTTTTGTAAATCACACATACTTGTATTATTTCCTGAAAAAATAAAAAAAGGAGGGAATGTAAAACAAAAAAAAACGACTATTTGTTAGTACAACATGAACTCAAAACTCCACTGCAGTCTGCAGACTCTGCAGCTGTACTGTTGTAGAATAACAAGAATTGGTGCTGCTAGTCAACTGGGATCTCCACCTCCATCTTCAAGCCAGGATGATCAAACACCTTAATAAAGTCATCCACAGATAATAAGGAGTCCCTTGTATAACCAGCCTCGTGCAAAACACGGCTCAAAACATCCTCTCTTTGTTTATCAGACATGTATGCACCACTTAAATCCTGAAGCACTGCAATCATGTCATCGAATGAGACCTTCCCATTCCCATCAGAATCATATACCTTGAAGATAAGTTCAACCTTTTGCCTCATGCTTGCTTTGGCACTAAAGGCTGACAAGAAAGCTACAAACTCCTTGAAGTTTAATCCATCTACCATCTTGAGCAACCTCTGGGAGAGGGGATTCATGGCAAACTCGGGAACCGACAGAAACTCATCAGCTGATATGAACCCCTTCGCGCTCCTATCAAGCTGGCAGAACCTCTGATACAGTGACAGTATTTCTAGCTGATTAAAGAGATGGTTACAGTGGTCTTGGACGTCTTCAATGTCATACTGGGTTAACATTGAAGAAGCATTACCCATTCTCAAATATCACTTATTGCTGCCAGGACGTTTCCGCCAGCAGATTGGGAGACGGAGAAATTCGGATTCCAAATCCCAACTGCGGGATGCCCAAATGAGTGCAGTAAAAAAACAGATTCTGACACAATCAGAAACATAAAACTAAACGTAGCATTCAAAGATTCAATAAACGGACTAATAAACTAGTAAACCATCGAAATTCAAATTTCAGTAATGAATAATAAGACAAAACATCTGCCAATTTTAACAGCTTCTGGCTTTCTTCGCCTTTATCGGGAGAATGAAGAGTCTGATTTAGAAAAACGGAGGCAGTAGACAATGAAGGAAGGGATCGAAAGCTTACCGGAGATCTGAAGCTCAGAGCACAGGTCGAAGAAGAGGAGGCAAACGATGAATCGGGCAGATGGCTCTGATATTTTTGTGAGTGCAGTAGATATATTCGGCTTGCTCCAATTCCCGAATGTAGAATGTGAGATTGGGAATTCGGATATACGTTAATCGGCCCAAAATCACTTTTTTTTTTAGAAAAAGAACGATTTTATTATTCATAAAAATAAAAAGTACGGTGCAAGAACTCAAATAAAGGAAAAAAATACACAGAATAAAAGAGAACATAAAAAACTAAAGCTAGACCCAAGGGAAATCTCTGGATTGTGATCTAGTACTCATGTTATGTCGCCTTTTGTTTTGCTGAGATTTCCTGTAAAGCTTGAGTTGCGTGTTTAGATTGTTTGTTGGCTAACAGTTCTCAGGAGTGACGAACTTTGCTTTGCGGCAAATCGATCTGTTGAATTTGGAGTTCCCAATTTCTTCTTGGTGTGATAAAGGAGGGCGACGGTCATCGGCCCAAAATCACTTTTTCAACACCACTCACTAATTTTGAATTCTCAAAAACTATTTAGTATTTGTTCAATGTTAACATCAACATTTTTGAACTGCGATGAGATTCGAATTTGTGATCTCCTCCTTGAGTCATTCCAACAATTCGTTTAGTTCACATTGTGATTTGTGATCCATACACCACACACAAGAAACTTCAATTCATTAATTATAAAGAAATTGGGAGAATTACCAAATAAGCTCTCGAACTTACTACCAAATGGCTATGTCCGTTCGTCGCCATTTGGGGTGGTTCCTAGTGAAATTTTTTGATGAATTTTTTTGAGTATCTTATTCATTAAGTTTAGTTTACTCATACCAAATTTCAGCTACAAATTCAATCAGGAAGGCAGTCAAATGAATTTTTGAAAATAACTATGCAGTTAAACAACGCAGTATATTTCAGAAAATCATTTGACTGCCTACTAGGTTGATTTTTTAGCTGAAATTTGGTATGAGTAAACTAAACTTAATGAATAAGATGCTCAAAAATTTTAATCAAACAATTCCACTGGGAACCACCACAAATGGCGAACTGTTAGTTTTTAGTCACTGAAAATATATTAAAAAGAAAAAATGGTAGCTGTCTGGTAAAAAGATGATTGTTTGATTTAGTTTTTTTTTTTGTATACAAGCTGTAAAGACAAATTAATACTAAAAGTCACAAACTTTTTTCAAATGCTACTCTCTCTAGCATCTAAAAAAAAATCTTTTATTTTTTGAAAAGTTTTTTAAATTTGTCATGTCAAACATACAACTAGAAGCTTTTAGAGACCTTTTAAACAGTACAAAAGCTAGAAGGCAAATACCGTTAGGAATTAATTTACGCAACACGAAGAACAATAAAAAAACACACGAAATTTGGTAACCCAATTCGACACGAATGACTACGTCTGGGGCACTACCAAGCCAGGAATATTATTGCTGTTTTCGGATTCAAGAGATTACAAAGAGAGAGAGAGCTTGTATTTAACTATTTATAGAAAGTAAAACCTACCCCTAATCCAACTAGGAGGCTCGGCCAAAAAGAAAAAATATAAAAACCGTACGACTCATCTGTACGGAATCCGTACGGCCCACATGTACGGAATTCTACGGAAAACTTGATCGTAAAAAACGGACCAAAAAAAATTCGGTCCCCCAACCCCTTGTCCAACTCCTCGTCAAGTTGGATCGACGGATAGGGCTTGGTTGGTTAGACAGTCTCTAACACCTTACAAATACTGAGATACTTGTGTGTACCAAACCTTACAAATACTGAGATACTTGTGTGTACCAAACATTCACTTATTTCATCTAACCCTAAAAAAAGCTCTAAATGGACACATGGAACTAAAGGAATGACAATTTAAATGATTCCGCCTCCAATAACTTTAACCGATGGGTTTTCCCTCTATTATCGAAAAAGCTTAAAACCAAACATATTCTGAAGAAAGATATTAGTTACGGCCGTGTTAATGACCCGTTTGGTAGCACCAAAATCGGCTGTTTTGGCTGATTCTGCTGAAATTTATGATATTCTGGCTGGAGTGGCTGTTTTGGCTGATTCTGCTGATTTAAGAAAAAAATATTTTAAAAATATATTTTATTAATAAATTAAAGAAAAAATTATATGTAAAAATAGCTAAAATGGTCCTCTACAGTAACTTCAGCCAATACAGCCAGAAAAGTAACTCCAACCTTACTTTTTCGGCTTATTACACAATTCAGCGCGCGAAAGTAAAAGTTACGTGTTTGGTGAAAAAGCTGGCTGATAAGCCTGATAAGCCGAAAACAGAGTTCTCCAAACGGGCTCTATATTTTATAGAGTAGAGCAATTTAAATAGTCATACTTCTTTCTTTGGCTTTACGAGACAAGCTAAGCAAGTTTTTACTTATTTTTTAGGAACTTGACCGCAAATGGAAGTTTCATGAATGTATGGGGATTGGGGAACATTTATATTGAATGATGCATTTCTTTATATTTAGAGTAATGCACTTATGTATGTAATAATTTCAAATAATACACACTATTGCTAATGTTGAACTATGATATACGATGTTCATATAAATCAAAACTTGTTAATATGCGTACATAAAGATTCTTAACAACTCAACCACTTTTATCATGAGGCTTCTGACATTCTTCCCAAATAAGACATGAAAGATGAAGGTCATATAACAGATTCATGAACCTCTACAAGTTCAAGAGCCTTACCATCCTGCAATTTGTTAAGTATCCGAAGTTTTCTAAGCTCCGTATAAGTGATGGGTTTATACAACCGTCGTGGATCAGATGCAAGAAGCTCTTGTGGTGGCTCTATTGCAACATCTTTGGGACCCAAAAGAAATGAAGCAATTGAGAGCCGCATTTTTGGTTCCTTGCACATCACCCCATGCCTTACATTGTAAAATCTTCCATTGCTCCAAATCTTGTAACCACTCAAAGAATAAAAACAAAACATTAAAGTGATCAAAATCTTGCATTGAGCCTTGATGCATGAGAAACATTACGATATCTTGCATTACAAATTGTAACTAATTCCTTCGTCTCTTATAACTTTGTCAAAGTACACTGACATATAGAATAATAAAGTCAAAGTTGTGTGGTTGAGATTTGTGCAGAAGAGAGATGATTAATTAACGTTAACTATAAATTTTTTACTAAGAAGTGAAAGTGGCAAAGAAAGTGGGAGAACAAAAAAAGGTCAGTTGAAAAAGTTATAAAGGACACAAGGAGTATTTTTCTCTTACTTAGGTTAGCCCGTTTAGAGCCTGTTTTTTCATTTCTCTTAAAACTGACGTTTGAAGTATTTTTCTCGCACATAATGGGTAGAACATATAAACAACTATTTGAGATGTTGATCTACTCCTCTTCCATAAAGTTTACATTTTTATGATGGAACTCCATATCTTAATATGACAACATTGTCGATTAAACTTCAACGAGCAATTGGATCCTGATAAGCTCGACTTAGCAATGAGCACAAATAAGGGAATTAAACTTACAGTGGCCATATCTCCAAGGTTAAGCAGGAGGCTACCAGGCAAGGGATCAACTGCCACAATTTCTCCTGATCTCTTAATGACTTCTAATCCACCCACACTCTCATCATCTTGCAACACTGTAAGGAATCCAGAGTCTGTATGTACTATCACTCCAGATGAGCCTACACTCTCAGAGGTGAAGTGGTACTTGTTAATTCTGAACTGACAGGACCACCCTTCAAAAAGTTTACCTTTCATACCCAAACCTTCCGCTAATTTTCGTCCAATCTCCAACATCACTTCATGCACGGATGCAGCATATTTCACTATTGTCTCTCTAAAAAGAACATCAAAACTCAAAGATAGTTACACTACTGTTATTTAAGAAATGATGTTCATACTTGGCAAATACTATGTATATGACTATAATGCACCCCAAGTACATTGATGGTAATGATATTCAAAAGTAATAAATAATCATATAATTAGTAATATAGCTGAAAATTTTATTCTGTTTCAAGTGAATAAAGTAAATCAGAATACAAGTGTGAAATCATACCCCATTTTGAAACAAGGTAAAGCTAGTGACCATTTTTTGTCACAATACTACATATAATATAGGAGGTTCCTTCCACGCCACTTTGAGGAAACACTAATTTAATGAGTGAGATAGAGAAATAAGTTCATATCTATCATATAAACACCCAACTATTTTAAGAGTACTTAAGTTGAGTTTATATATATTACACATATATTAAGATGCATTAAAAGAATAAAATTCTTATCTACCTCAGAAAGTCACTTTTGAACTCTGGGGAGTAAATGTAGATACCAAATTTTGCAGACATGGACATGTGCCGCATATATAATTATTATAAATATTGAGGCAACAATTTAAATGGATTAGATGATAGTCATACTTCTAATTATGAAATATCTTACTCGGTTAATAATATTGAAAGGAAATTGTCCTAAATAGGAGTAAAAACGTTCTGCAATGTAAAAATAGGAGTTCTATATTTTTATTTCCGGAATAGCAGTCATTACTGCAATGATTGAAATATACTGCCACTAATGACAACAAATATTGTCATGTTACTTCTATTTCAGGAAGAAAAACATAACTATCATATTTTGGAATTCTCAAACATGTTTACTCTTATTTCGGTAAATTTCCCTAATATGAATGAACTTTTGCAATTTCGAATAAGTCTATAATAAATATCTCAATTATAAGAAATTGGGAATAGAAATCAATTATTTGATTTGAAGAAGAAAATAGATCCAAGAAGAAAAAACCTTTGGTGAGGTGAGGCATCCAAGTCAGTACAGAAAGCTTCAACATCTTGAAGTGATGCCATGTTATAGAGCCCAAATGCTTCATACAGAGGATCTCTCAAAGTTGGGGCAGTATAACCACTGCCATGAATAACATGCTTGTTTCTCTTTTTTATCTCCTCTGGAAGATCAAACAGTGACTTCACCACTTGTTTCATATCCAACATGAGTGAAAGTGACAAAATGTTGTGGAAGTTGACAAGCCTGAAGCAACCCCACTCCTCACATACCTCTATCAGTTTTTTTGATTGTGCTGGGAAGTCATGCAAGTCTATCACTGGAACCATGTTCTCCTTGTTGCTTCCCATTTGATATGTTGGACTCTAAATTTGGGGTGAGAAACTTTTTGGCTGATTTTTAGAGTAAGCACTTAATTATAATAATCTTTCATCATCTACACTACATGGAATAACACTTGAGAGCCTCTTCACTGTTTTCCATTTTGGAAAAGAGCCACCTAGATGTGTTGATGTCCATACGCATGCTCATAAGAATAAAAAAGTTTCGTATCTTGAAGCCTTTGATGTGGATTAGTGAATTTTTCTAGAATCTAAGAAAACGTCTAAAAATGTTAAGAAATAATATACAAAAACATTTTGAGAAAATAACTGGATATTAGTAAAAAACAAATGAAGACATTAATCTAATTCACTTTACCAAAACAACTTGGTAAAAATTGTTTTTATTCACAAAAGTTACATGTAAAAGGTACGTAGTATAATCCAATTGAAATATCCCCCCATTTTTTAAGAATTCTATTTAGCTATACTTTTATCCTATTAGCACCCTAAATTAGGGGAAAAAAATTAAAAACTTGTCTATCTCCATTAATTATTTTTACTCGATAGTCGTTACAAACTTACAATATAGTACCGCATTAGATACTCTCTGTATCACATTATTCTCATTTGCAGAGTACACGCAGAGTAAATTATCAAAGTACCCTTCATTAGTTCATTCTCTCGGAGAAATTCGAATCCCAACTGCGCAATGCCCAAATGAGTAAAGTAGAAAACATATTCTGACACAATTAGAAACGTAAAACTAATATTTCGAGAAAAAAAAAGAAACATTACACTAAACGTAGCATTCAAAGATTCAATACTATATCATAAGCTAGTAAACCATCGAAATTCTAAATTCAATAAACTGATTAATAAGGGCTTGTTTTCAAAATAAAAAATTCAATAAACTGATTAAAAATGATTTTGGCTTTTTTTAAAGAAAAAAACACTTGTTTTACCAAACACTACTATCTTTTACTTTCTCGGGTTTTCGTGTAGTATCTACTTTTTTCTTTTTCTATTACACAAAAAGCACTTATTTTACCAAACACTACCAACTTTTACTACTAATCACTTTTTCCCAAAAAATAAAAAGACAAAGCAGCTGCCAAGTTCAATTTTAACAGCTTATAACCATCTTCGTCTTTAAAGAGAGAGCGAGGAGTCTGATTAAAAAAAGAGGCAGTAGACAATGGAGGACAGGCTCGGAACTTACCGGAGATCTGAAGTGCAGAGTACAGGTCGCTAGAGAGAGCAACGAGGAATGAATGATGAATAGGAAAATTGGATGAAAACTATTTTAGAAGTAATTAATAAAAAATAAGAATATGTTTGGCACACAAACAATTCGAGAACACTTTCTTTTACTAAATTCAAGCGTATTTATTTTTGCACGGACAATTACACTTGGTGTGGAAAATGTGTGTAAGCATGTTTTTACTTGATTGTAAATTTATAATCTGTCTGAGATCAGACCAGAATAGACCAGACTTGGATAGTTATAAGAGCATCTTCAATACTAAAACGTGCACGGTGCACACGTGGCATGAGAAATAACCACATAAATATTAGTAAATAAATTCTTTCTCTCCTTATTTGAATGATTTTATACAATTTTGGTAAGTTTTTCTCTACAATGTCAAGGAGACCGTCTAGATGTTGACATTGTTGTTGACATTGCAGAGGAAAACTTACCAAAATTGTATAAAATCATTCAAATAAGGAGAGAGATGATTTATTTGCTGATATTTATGTAGCTATCACTCATGCCACATGTGCACCGTGCACATTATAGCATTGGAGATGCTCTAAGAATACAAAGAAATTATATTACCAGATCAGACCAACAAATTACTGTCTAAGTCTAAGTAAAAACATCCTAAGGCGGTATGTACACCAAGCAAATTTCTAGGAATAACGACATGGATGATACACATGTGTTATGGAAAGACAAATATAGGACCATATTCCAATTTAGACAAAGAAGTGTTCTTTATCTTTATATATAATATAAAGTAACAGAGTTGGGACAACTATTGGAGGGAAAAATCCTGCCCAAAATAAGGGCAAAATAGGGAATTAATGTGAAAAATAAATTTGGTAATTATTGGTGGTGATTAATTGTTTTCTACCTTACATATATACGGAGTACTAAGTTTGGAACCACAAAGGCAATTTCTTTCAATTGATGATACTAATGCAAAATCTAGCCCAAAGCCAGAGGTACGCTATTTATGAATACTATCTAACATAATTAATGTATTACTAAATGCAAATTGTTCTCAATACTATCAAGAGTGTACGAAGTATGTTGTAAGAGCATCTCCAATGATAAAATGTGCACGGTGCACACGTGACATGAGAAAATAACCACATAAATATTAGTAAATAAATTCTTTCTCTCCTTATTTGAAGAATTTTGTATAGTTTTAGTAAGTTTTTCTCCACAATGTCAAGAAGACCGTCTAGATGTTGACATTGTTGTTGACATTGCAGGGAAAAACTTACCAAAATGGTGTAAAATCATTCAAATAAGGAGAACTATTATTTATTTGCTAATATTTATGTGGCTATGACGCATGCCACATTTGCACCGTGCACATTATAGCATTGGAGATGCTCTAAGAGTAACACGTAGGTTATTACATGTCAAATTAAAAGTTACCATACATGCTATATTGATATTAATGGGAAGAGTAAAAATGTTATAATGTTATAATACATGTTATTGATGGAAATGGTGAAAATGTGAGATTATCAAAAAAATGATGGAAATAGTGAGAGTGTAATTATAATATGGTGATATGCTCTATTGGAAATTGGTAACTACAGGTAATGGTGTAAATTGATTAACTTTGTACAATGTAATTAAAATAAATTCAATAATATTCCATAATATATTCTTTAATTAATTCGGTATATATATCCAGTAATAATATACTGAAACTGCAATTGATAATACTCCTAGCAATAATAATCCAGTAATCTATATATTATACAATTGAGAGTCACATTGACACGTGTCATTCTATTATTTACTATTGTCATGTGTCACTCTATTGTCTACTATTAGCCACATGTCACTAGATTATTTGTTCCTGTTAAAAATCTAACAACTAAGTTTATTACCTTTGTTACTATTGTTGTGTAATTATTATACTCCGTATATGATTGGGTATAGTAGGTTTCATACATGTATATACTACGTATTACATTACTTATTACCTCACATGTATACATACTACGTATTTATCACCTTTATTACTATTGCTTTGTAATTGATATTTATGTTTAGTAAATAGATTCCATTTCATATATACGGAGTATTACCCAAATGATTGCCTGTGTACACGTTTTTTTAATTAATATAGTGATTTAGAGCCCGTGTTTTTCGGCTTATCAGACTCATCAGCCGATTTTCTTTTCAAACACATAACGTTTGATTTCGCCATGAATTTTGTAATAATAAGAAAAGTAAGTTAGAGTTGTTTTTCTAACTATATTGGTTGAAGTTACTGTAGAGGAACATTTTACTTATTCTTTCAAATAATTTTTTCTTTATTTTATTAATTGCTAACATTTTTTTACATAGATGAACATAATCATCCAATCTAGCCACTTCAACCAGAATTTCATAAGTTTCAGCAGAATCAGCCGATTCAGTCGATTTTGTATTTTTGTTTTACTCCGGGGGGCGTCTGGGGGATGGGGGATGGGGGGCCTGGAGTAATCTGGGCTGAAACTCAGCTCATTGAGTTTCGAACCCTTATGTGCCTACCGGATTTCGAACTCGAGACCTCTCACTAGGCACGGTAACCTCACAACCAGCTAGACTAGAATGGTTGGTTGCCTTCATATAATCATATGTATTTATTTATTTATCATTATAATATATACATTTGATTTGCTCCTCATTTTCTTACCCAATTAATATACACTATTATGATAATTTTTTAACAATAACAATGTCTTTGGTTATAAAAAAACAATAACAATGCCTTCAAATTCTCAGACTTTGCAATATGTTTACTTTATGCCTAAGCTGCTCTACTTTTTTCTTACCCAATTATATACACTATTATATGGTAATTCACTCCTAAGCTGTTCTGCTGTTTTCTTACCCAATTTATATCTATCTATCTATCTATCTATCTATCTATCTATCTATCTATCTATCTATCTATCTATCTATCTATCTATCTATCTATCTATCTATCTATCTATCTATCTATCTATCTATCTATCTATCTATCTATCTATCTATCTATCTATCTATCTATCTATCTATCTATCTATCTATCTATCTATCTATCTATCTATCTATCTATCTATCTATCTATCTATCTATCTATCTATCTATCTATCTATCTATCTATCTATCTATCTATCTATCTATCTATCTATCTATCTATCTATCTATCTATCTATCTATCTATCTATCTATCTATCTATCTATCTATCTATCTATCTATCTATCTATCTATCTATCTATCTATCTATCTATCTATCTATCTATCTATCTATCTATCTATCTATCTATCTATCTATCTATCTATCTATCTATCTATCTATCTATCTATCTATCTATCAATCTATCAATCTATCTATCTATCTATCTATCTATCTATCTATCTATCTATCTATCTATCTATCTATCTATCTATCTATCTATCTATCTATCTATCTATCTATCTATCTATCTATCTATCTATCTATCTATCTATCTATCTATCTATCTATCTATCTATCTATCTATCTATATAATCAAGTCACTAAAGTGAGACTCCCATCTAAACTCAAGGGTGTTTGGGTAACTTTATATTTAAGTATTTAATTAAATTTCTCATCTGAAATGTGAACAACCATAGAGTTTCACCCCAAATCCACTTCACCCTCTTCATATTTATCACTTTGTTTTAAACAATTTTCTCTTCTCACATTTTTTCTCTAATTGTTTCTTTTCTTTTTTTGCAAGTCTCAAAATGTTTTTTCCTCACTACAAAAATCCAATCATCTTCTAGGATGTATCTTCTTCATGAAGAATTCCAACCACCCTTTGATCTCTATTCTCCATAAAATCCTGATGTCTTTCATTCCTAACTCATTCCACTTCTAAAACTTAAACTGGAGTATATATTTTATACGGAGTATATTATATACGTAGTATAATACTATCCTCCGTTCTTTAATAGTTGCAACAATTTGACTTTCACGCTTGCCAACACACAACTTTGACTGTAATTATATTTAATTACGTATCAGTAAAAATTATAAAAAGTTCATATTATGAAAATTCACATGAATAGAATATTAATAACATTTGATACATCATTATTTCATCATAAATATCAGTAGAAAATCGTAGTTAAAGTAAGGTGTGTGAATGTTGCGAAAATTCTTATGTTGCAACTTTTAGGAAACGGAAAGTATATAATTTGAGTTTATTTCATGCATTTCCACCATTTTCGTAGTTTTTTGGGCTAAGATTTTAGAAAAAAGTGATGGCTAGAAAAGGAAAAATACAGACTAAAAAATTATATGAAATCAAACAAATACTGCTCTTCATTCATGTAGAAGTTTATAAATGAAACCCGAGAATAAATTTCGCTCTATTTTGTTCAATTTTTCCAGTTTAATTTGTATAAAAGTAAACTGTATTCGTTTACAAGTTAGATGCAAAATGTAGTAGATAGAAGAAGATGTTCACCGTAAATCATTCTTCGGTATTCCTTCGTATAAATAATAAGATTACAACAAATATTACCGAAACCACCGGATCGGTAAAACTAATCTAAACTCTGTACAAGGAAATTCTATCTAAGGGATAAACATCCAGCTGTACACTTTGAATCAAATACTACTACGTACAAGAAGGAACACTAATAACAATAAATGAATATGGCCATGATGTGACATATAATACATGGCTATGCATGTATATGGCCGAATTGGTATTATGCGTTAACAGCCCCCCGCAGTTGTAACGGGAGGGTGCTGTACGTTAAGACTGGAACGGAAATCCTCAAATAATATCCGAGGGAGCCCTTTGGTAAAAATATCGGCAAATTGATGACGAGACGGAACATGTAAAACACGTACTTCTCCTCGGGCAACTTTTTCACGAACAAAGTGAATATCCAACTCAATATGTTTTGTACGTTGATGTTGAACCGGATTACCGGTCATATAAACCGAACTGATATTATCGCAATAAACTAGTGAAGCTTTGTGAAGAGGGCAATGTAGCTCAAGAAGTAGATTTCGTAACCAGCATGTTTCAGCGACCACATTTGCCACCCCACGGTATTCGGCCTCAGCACTAGAGCGAGAAATAGTAGGTTGCCGTTTAGAAGACCATGATAAGAGATTATCACCTAGAAACACGCA